TCACAAGTGGTATGTTAAGATTTATTTTTATTGATTTGGTTTGTGTTCACAATATGTTCATCTTGTAGATTTAGAGCGTATTCATGATATGTTGATAAACTATAACTATAATAGTATTTCTAAGAAAGTGTTCACCTTGAGTTTATATCAATTATGAATATGTACATATACATTATGGAACGAGGATAGAGAAAATAAGAGAGAGAGGGAGAGAATTTTTAATTTATTGTTAAATTTTATTTTTCAACTAATTTTTTGTGAGTTAAATTGAATATCACAAATTAGCAAGTCCATAAAATTAAAGAAAGCCCCTTTTATATATATATAGACGTGTAATCCTCTCTTGTTGTCATCCAGCTTTGGCATCTTTCAGCCATCTTGAAGTCTTAGATTTGAGTTGGAACAATTTTTTCGGGAGCATCCCATCAACAATACAAGCATTATCTTCGCTTCGAGTTGTCTCGTTTGCTAACAACAATCTCAACGGTTCGTTACCTAACCAGGGTAAGTTACGTAGAGCATGCACAATTAACTATTGGGATTGTTTAAAACCAATATATAAATTTGGACTTAATATATTATAGCTAAAATTGTATGCACCTTTAAAAACTTTACATTTGCCGGATGCTTAATCTTTTTGAAGTCGTATGACTATGCAAGCGCAATTCATTAAAGGACGAACCATGATTCTTTCTCTTTTGGCAGGTTTATGTGAGTTGAAGAACCTCCATGAGTTGGATCTTAGTGGGAACAATTTTGATGGAAACCTGCCTCAATGTTTCAATAGGCTATCTTCTCTTAAGCTGCTGGATATTTCTTCAAATCAATTCACGGGAACACTTCTGCCATCACTGATTGCCAATCTCACATCTCTTGAGTATGTTGATTTTAGTAATAACAGATTTGAAGGTTCATTCTCATTAAGCTTGTTCTCCAATAATACAAAGCTTGAGGCAGTTAATTTCAGGTCCAACAATAACAAATTCGAGGTTGAAACGGAAGAGCCTATAGGTTGGATTCCAATGTTCCAATTGAAGGTTCTTGTGCTATCAAGTTGCAATATAAATAGGCCTAAAGTAAGTGTCGTTCCTAGGTTTCTACTTCACCAACACATGTTACAGGTCATAGACCTATCTCACAACTCCTTGGTGGGAAATTTTCCAAATTGGTTAATGGAAAATAATACAATGCTAGAAGCTCTCAATCTAAGGAATAACTCTCTTATTGGTGGTGTGTGTATGCCACGGTATAGGCATGCTAACATGAGGTGGTTGGATGTGTCCGAAAATCACATGAATGGCACTATTCCGACTGACATACAAAAGTTCCTTCCCAGTATAGGATATTTAAATTTGTCAAGCAATTCCYTAGATGGTGTTATCTCATCTTCGATTGGTGATATGAGACAAATACAGACATTGGATTTATCAGACAATGAGTTATCGGGAGAAGTACCAGAGACATTGTTTTCAAATATCACTTACTTAAGGATATTGAAACTATCAAAGAACAGATTACAGGGTGAGGTACTTTCAAGAAACTTAAGCTTGGGTGYAATTGGGAGGCTTGGCTTCGATAACAATCATTTCACAGGGAAAATTGGAAATTGGACCTTCCAGAATCATTATATGGAGAGTTTGGATATTAGCAATAATCTTTTCACAGGTACGATCCCCCGTTGGATTAGTGACATGATGAGCTACAAGTCTGAACTTATAGTGAGCAATAATGGGTTTGAAGGCCCGTTTCATTGTGGAAAAACTTCATTCTCGTTTCTCGATATCTCACATAATTCTTTCTCAGGCCCGATCCCATCTTGCTTAGATTTCCAAGCGATGACACATCTTCATTTGGGTTCTAACAGATTCATTGGACCTATACCCAACGCCTTTCACAATTTGACTAGTGTTTTAACTTTGGATATAGGTTACAACTCCTTGTCAGGAAGGATACCCGAATTTCTTGGTAATCTATCCTATTTAAGGATTCTTATTTTGAGAAAAAATAATTTTAGTGGTTCTATTCCGAAACCATTGTGTCAGTTAAGTAATGTGAGTTTGATAGATTTATCGAGTAACTCTCTTTCTGGTTCAATACCGAGCTGCCTACAAAAGATTATGAACGCTGTTTACCCTGCTTTCGAACAAACAATGCAAAGTTTGTATTATACGTCAATATCTTATGCCTATCAGAGTGTTCTATATGGAAACATAGGTATTGACGATTATATAATGCGTGAAAAACAAGATGAGGTTCAGTTCACAACAAAAACTCTTCCCCTCTCATATAAAGGTAAAATTCTTGATTTGATGGTGGGATTGGATCTATCTTGTAACAAACTAACCGGTGAAATCCCAAAAGAACTAGGGTTGTTGACCCAGATTCACTCTTTGAACCTGTCTCACAATCAGTTGGCTGGAACCATTCCAATGCAGTTCTCAAATCTTGAGAAGATAGAGAGCTTGGACCTYTCTTCAAATTGGTTGAGTGGCGAAGTTCCATCACAATTGATTAAGCTTACTTCTCTAGCTGTCTTCAATGTTTCTCACAACAATCTATCTGGTAGACTCCCTGAAATGAAAGCACAATTTGGTACCTTTACCAAGGCRAGCTATGAAGGGAATCCACTTCTTTGTGGACCACCACTCGATAAGAAATGCATGAATACATCATATGCGACCGATTCATCGGCTAAAGATGGCAGTGATAAATGGTATGATATCGATATGGCATCCTTCTATGGAAGTTCTGGTTCGACATGGGTTGTGTTCTTGTTGGGATTTGCTGCGGTTCTTTACATCAATCCTTATTGGCGTAGAAGGTGGCTAGACATGGTTGAAGAATGTGTGTATACTTGTTATTATTTCCTTGATGATTCTGTATGTAAGGTCTCTATGCTCTTTCGTAAATAAGACCTACTCATTTGAGAATGTGATAGAATAAGCAGAAACCAACTCTCCTATGTATTTGTGGTACTCTTCCAATTATGAGCATATCACATGATTCTGAAAAATGGTTTCCCCTGATAATTATTTCTCCGATTTCCTAGAATGAATTTCATGATACGGTTTTGACCTTAGATGGTCTGTCACTACTTACACCAAACAGAGCCATGGGCGAAAATGTTTATTATAATATGTTGGATATAAGTAGTAACTTGTTTTCAGGTGTACGTGCTTCCCGAATGGATAAGCAACACAGAAGACTTGTGGGCACTTATCATAAAAAACAACATGTTCGAAGGCCAATTTTGTTGTTGGATAGCTCAATTCCAGTTTCTTGACATCTCACAGAATTCTCTCTGGGTCCATCTCATCTTGCACGAATATGCAAAGTATGGAGCATCTCCATTTGAATTTCAAAAGATTCGCTAATATATTGCTTTGCATGAAACAAAAAAGGAAAGAAAAGGAAAGAAAAATCAAGAGTTCTATTACAAACTAATAATATAGCTACGAGGCGGTTTAGACGATTGAACTTACAATAAT